ACCCATGACCACCACAGCCTCGATCTACTAAGCTTGGGCAATCCTTTCGCTTCAGCCTTCCAAGTAGCTGGAACTACAGGCATGCACCACCACACCCAGCTAATTTTTTTGTTTATTTTAGAGATGATGTCTCACATGTTGCTCAGGATGGTCTTAAACCTGTGGGCTCAGGAGTCCTCATGCTTCCACCTCCCAAAATGCTGGGATTACAGGCTTGAGCCACCATGCCCGGCCACTAGTTGTCTTTAAGTTTGGTTTGCCTACTAGACATCCAAGGAGTAGTGTCAAATATGTAAATCTGCAGCTCAGAGGAGAGGGGCAGGCAGGGGCCACCAGCTTGCAGCGCAGAGATGGACTTTGATGTCTTCTGGCCATTTGGGGAAGCTGGTCACTCCCACTCAGCCTCAAGCAGGACATGGAGCAGGGGCAGTGTTCTGCCAGCTTCTCCCTCACTTTCAGATCATTATCCTGCCACCCTCATACACTTCCCCTCCTCTTATAAGCTCACCCCATTAACCACAGCACCTTCCAAAGCCCTGTATTCATTGCTCACTGCTAAACCCAATTGCCAAGTTACTCACCCTTATTCACTGATCAGCTCGGTCCCTGGCTCACCCTCTTGTCGGCCACCACAGGCCTGCCATCATCCTAGGGAAGATGAATGCTCATGGAGATGTCTTACCAGCCCTCCAGCCCCACAGCTCAGTGACCTGCCTAACCTCTTTCCAGAGGAAACGTGGTTCCCCTCAAGGAGCCCTCTTAGAGAAGGGGAAAATGCAGTAAGTGCTTCTTAAGTGCTTCTCACGTATTTAGTTCTGAGGTAGAATGTAAAGAGAGCAGACTCAAAGGATGAAGTGCTCAGTTTACCTAAGAGAATCAGGAAAGTCTTCATAGGAAATCTGATACAATTTTTTTTTAATGTGTTTTCACCAGATCCATGAGAAAACAAGGGGAAGGGTTAAGAAGGACACCCTAAGCAGATGGTGCCATCTCAGCAAAGGCATGAGGCATGCTGTGGGGACGGGATGGTCGTGGCTGCAGACAGGAACAAGGGCCAGCTGGGCATTATTTGGCAAGCAGGAGAAAGTGAATGAAAGAGGGTATCCAGGAGAGGGACATGACCAGATGTGAGTTTAGAGGAGTTTCTTTAGCAGTAAACGTTGAATGAATTAAAAGCAGGCAAGAAGCTGGGCTTGGTGGTTCAGCCTGTAATCCCGTACCTTTGGGAGGCTGAGGTGAGTGGATTGCCTGAGCCCGTGGTTTCGAGACCTGCCTGGGCAGCAAGACCTCATCTCTACAATAAATCAAAACATCAGCCAGGAATTCTGGCTACTTGGAAGGCTGAGGCGGAAGGATCGCTGGAGCCCAGCAGGTCGAGGCTGCGGTGGCCGGAGTGGCCACTGCACTCCAATCTGGGTGACAGAGTGAGACTCCAACTCAAAAACAAACAAACAAAAAGCAGGCAAGAAGGAAGGCAGGGAGACCAGTTGGGAGACTCCTTCAGTGAACGAGGCAAGAGGTGAGTGAGGTCTGCATATGGAGTGATAGCTGGGATATAGGGGAAAGGCCAGAGAGATCCAAGGAGTGATCATTAAATTGACAGGGCTTGGTGACTTAACAGATAGGGGAAGATGATAGGAGGGGCACTCAGATGACTGTCAGATGGCTGACTTGGTGACCTGGTGGTATCATTCAATGTGACTAGGAACTCCAGAGGAGCAGCAGGTTGTGGAAGACAAAGATGAGCCCTGTTCTGAGCAGGGTGATTGAGGTGCATCCTGTAGAACCTAGAGGTGGATGTGTGTATCAGGCAGTAGGATCTGGTGCCCAGGAGAGGAAGCTGAGTGGGAGCTCGAGATGGGAGCCATTAGCACAGAGGGAACACTGGAGCACAGGAGGAAACTAGATCGCCTGTGAAAAGAAACAGTGGAATGAGAGAAAGGGGCATGGGAGGGCCACCCCTTCACCTCAAAGCCAGTGGAGGGGCTAGGGCAGCAGACAGATCCAGTGGTCCTGTCCAGCCATGGGCACATTATCAGGTCAACACACGCCTGACCTAAACTTGTCCATTTCAGATCTACCCTGCCATAGTCAACCTTATAAAATTAGGCTATTAGAGGGTCCAGCACATACAAATGCATATATATTTTTTTCTACTTCTCCTTCCAAATTTTCTTTTTCCATTGTTGCATTCATATCTCTCAATCACAGAATCTCAAAGTTAAAAATTCCTTAAAGATCATCCAGCAAACCTTCTGACCACCAGCTTATGCATCACCCCAAAACATGATGTGTGCCTGCTCACCTCTACTTCTGAAGTGTCTCCACACCCACTTTGTTCGTCCAGGCCTAACTTCAGACCCACACACACCTACTCCCCTTGCCCGAGTCATTCTCCTCAAAGAGCTACCTGCTACCTAGCATATCCTGCTTTATAGTGTTGTGTTTTTCCATTTTATGCTTGTGTCATGTGTCCAATTAGACTGGTAATAATACAAGTATTAGCTGCCATTTACTGAGCACTTACTAGGTGTCAGCCTCTGCTTTATACCTTGTTGGACCTAGGTGTAACATTAGCCCATTGAATAGATACTGTTATCACCCAGCTTATTAAAGAGAAAATTGGTACATAGAAAGGTTATGTAACTTATCAAAAACCCAGAGCTAAGAAGTGTTAAGCCCAGTCTGTGTAACATCAGGATGCCAAACTGCCAGGGTATATGTTCTTATCACTTTGCATTTTCACTGCCTTGCACACAACAGATTCTTTTTTTTTTGGAGTCGGAGGCTCACTCTGTTGCCCAGGCTGGAGTGCAGTAGCATGCTCATAGCCACTGAAGCCTTGACTTTCTGGGCTCAGGTGATCCTTCTGCCTCAGCCTTCCAAGTAGCTAGAACCATAGGCATGTGCCACCACACCCAGCTGATTTTTTAATTTATTGTAGAGACGAGGGCTTGCCATGTTGCTCAGGCTGATCTCGAGCCCCTGGGCTCAGGCAGTCCTCTCACCTCTGCCCACACAACAGATCCTTATTCTTGATTATATTACCAATATAAACTTGTAGAATTTCAGAGTTGAAGGGACCTTCAAGTTTATCCCTCATTTTACAAATGAAGAAGCCAAGACCCAGTAAAACTGATTAATTGCTACAGTCTTTATGGGATTTAATCTGTGGATTAAAACCAAAAACTCTATACAGAGTACACAAACCAGGGAGCAGAAATCAGCATGATGTGTTTTCAGTTGCATAAAAGACCCTCAAACTCGAATGCCACCTGAATCCATCAGTCCCAGCTTCTCCCTTTTCTCCTGTCCAGCATGTGGATAAGAGCTCAGACTCCAGAGTCAGAAACACAAGCGTTTGCATACTCAGCTCCAGCTGAATGATCTTGAGGAAGTGTCTTAATCTCAGAGCTGCCAATTCCTCATCTATCAAATGCTGACAATGGGGTCATTACAGCTCAAGGCTCATGGTTGCATGGAAAGTTAGCAGGGAACCAAGGAAGGGGTGTGGAATTTGGAGTCAACCTTAGTTTTGAATCCTGGTCCTACCTATTGTTCTCTTTGGACAAGTAACTTCACTCTTGACTTCAACTTTCTCATCTTTAAAGTGGGGGTAGGCCGGGCACAGTGGCTCACACCTATAATTCCAGCACTTTGGGAGGAGAAGGTGAGAGGATTGCCGGAGCTCATTGGTTCGAGACCAGCCTGGGCATATTGGCAAGAGCTCATCTCTACAATAAATCAAGAAAAATTGGCCAGGCACGGTGACTCATGCCTATAATCCCAGCACTTTATACTTACCTGGCAAGGGAAGTTTTTCCAAGGCAAGCCTTATCCATTACACTCCAGATGTGCTGACCCCTATGATTTCTCCAAATGTGGGAAACTCGACTGCACAATTTGTGGTAGTGGAGGACTGTGTTTGTGCTCTCCTCTGTAAAAAGGAAAAAAAAGCACTTTGAGAGGCCAAGGTGAGTGGATTGCCTGAGCTCACAGGTTCAAGACCAGTCTAGGCAACTTGGTGATACCTCATCCCTACCATAAATCAAGAAAAATTAGCCAGGCATGGTAGCACATGCCTGTAGTTCCAGCAACTTGGAAGGCTGAAGCAGAAGGATCACCTGAGCCCAGCAGGTCGAGGCTGCAGTGGCCACAAGCATGCCACTGCCCTCCAGCCTGGGCAACAGAGTGAGACTCCAACTCAAAAATAAAAATAAAATAAAAAAATTACGGCCAGGCGCAGTGGCTCAAGCCTGTAATCCCAGCACTTTGGGAGGCTGAGGCAAGAGAACTACCTGAGCGCAGAGGTTTGAGACCAGCCTGAGCAACATGGCGCGACCTCGTCTCTGCAATAAATCAAAAAATGAGCCAGGCCAGGCTTGGTGGCTCAGCCTGTAATCCCGCGCTTTGGGAGG